ACAAAACGGGGTTGCTGAAAGGAAAAATCGTCACCTTCTTGAAGTTGCTAGAGCACTACTTTTTCAGACATCTGTTCCTAGTTCTTATTGGGGAGAAGCAGTATTAGCTGCAACCTTTTTGATCAACCGTTTACCTTCACGGGTCCTTAACAATATCAGTCCTATTCATTCCATGACTTCCTTCTTTCCTTCTGTTCCCATATTGCAGAGCCTTCCACCAAGAGTGTTTGGATGTGTTGCATTTGTCCATGTTCATAAACAACATCGGAGTAAGTTGGATCCTAGGGCTCTTAAGTGTGTCTTCCTTGGTTATAACCCTTATAAAAAAGGGTACAAGTGTTATCATCCACCAAGTCGGAAATTTTTTGTTTCTATGGATGTCACCTTTCAAGAATCGGAATCTTATTTCCTGGGTCCTCATCGTCAGGGGGAGAATAGTTCTTCAGAAGACTCGTCCCCTTCCTTCTTTGAGTCTGGATCAATCTTCTCTCTTCCTAGTGTGTCTGCTCCTGGTGTGTCAGAACCTTCAAATACACCTGAGATACAACCCATACTGTCTCACCAGCAACCTCAATCGTCTGAACCACTGGTAAGTCCTGAATCTCCTATTTCTTCTGAGTCTCCTGAATCTCCTGTTTCTGATTCTAATATTATTTCATCTCATGATTTGTCTATTTCTTCTGATATCTCTAATGACTTACCCATTGCTTCTACTTCTGATGACTTACCTATTGCTCTTAGAAAAGGAAAAAGATCTTGTCACAAGAAAACTTGTTCCTTATGTCCCTCTTGTACTCAATACCCTATCTCCCACTTTGTTTCCTCTGCTAATCTTTCTGTGCAGCACAAAAGCTTTGTTTCAGCACTAGATTCTATTGCAATCCCAAAATCAGTACATGAAGCCTTGAAAGATAGGAATTGGGCTCAAGCCATGCAAGAGGAGATGAATGCTTTGGAGAAAAATAAAACATGGGAGGTTATTGATAGACCCAACGGAAAGAAAGCAGTAGGGTGCAGATGGGTTTATACCCTGAAATATAATTCTGATGGCACTCTTGAGAGATATAAGGCTCGATTAGTGGCCAAAGGTTACACTCAAACCTATGGCATTGATTATGAAGAAACCTTTGCTCCAGTTGCAAAGATGAATACACTGAGAATCTTGTTATCCCTTGCTGCCCATTACAATTGGGATATAAATCAATTTGATGTGAAAAATGCTTTCCTCAATGGTGAGTTAGAAGAAGAAGTCTACATGGAAATCCCGCCTGGTTTTGATTCTGTGAAGGGGGAAAATAAAGTTTGTAGATTAAAAAAGGCCTTGTATGGATTGAAGCAGTCACCTCGTGCTTGGTTTGGAAGATTTACTAAGGTTATGATGACCTTAGGATACAGACAGAGCCAAGGAGATCACACTCTTTTCTTCAAGCACTCCCAAAATGGGAAGCTTACTGTGCTCCTTGTATATGTTGATGATATTATTATCACAGGTGATGATTTTGTGGAGAGACAGATTCTGCAAACACGGCTTGCCTCTGAGTTTGAAATCAAAGACCTTGGGAAACTGAGATATTTCCTAGGGATAGAAGTAGCTCATTCAAGCAAAGGAATTTTTATCAGCCAGAGGAAATATGTTCTTGATCTTCTCAAAGAAGCAGGAAAGCTCGGGTGTAAACCCTCTAATACTCCTATTGAGCAGAATCACAAGATGGGCTATGAAGAAGAGAGTCCTCCAGTTGATAAAGGACAATATCAACGGCTAGTTGGGAAATTGATATATCTGGCCCATACTAGACCAGACCTAGCTTATGCTGTTAGTGTTGTCAGTCAGTTTATGCACGATCCAAAAGAAAAACACATGCAGGCAGTAGAGAGAATTCTTCAGTATCTTAAAGGTACTCCTGGTAAAGGATTGTTATTCCGACGTGATGGCAATCTATCTTTAGAAGTCTACACAGATGCTGATTATGCTGGATCCGTGACTGACCGTCGTTCTACCACTGGTTATTGCATGTTTCTTTGCGGTAACTTGGTGACATGGAGAAGTAAGAAACAAGATGTGGTTGCCAGATCAAGTGCAGAAGCTGAATTTCGAGCTATGGCTCAAGGCATTTGTGAGTTACTGTGGCTGAAAATTGTTCTTGATGATCTCAAAATAAAATGTGAGGGACCTATGAAGCTGCTATGTGATAATAAGTCCGCTATTTGTATAGCTCATAATCCAGTTCAACATGATCGGACTAAACATATTGAGGTTGATCGCCATTTCATCAAAGAGAAACTTGATAGCGGGTTGATTACCACTCCATACATTCCCACTGGGCGTCAATTGGCTGATCTATTAACAAAGGGGCTTCCTTCAGACAGATTCCAAGAACTTACTAGCAAGCTGGGAATGATAAATATTTATTCCTCAGCTTGAGGGGGAGTGTTGTAAATAATATTGATTTAGTTATTATTTAGTTTTTATTTAGTCATTTATTGTTGTATTGGGCCAAGCCCTTTGTTGTATTGGGCCAAGCCCATTAGGTTAAAAGTAGGTCAAATATTCTCTATAAATAGAGAACCCTTTGTACATATTATTTACAATTCTATAATATATTAGAATACCCTTTTTCAAGTGATAGTTATATCCAACAAAATGAGAAAAATGTTTCCCCTTAAATTTATGTAAAACATTTTAAATCTGATTTGACTTATTAATCTAATATAAGCTAAATTAAAGACTCAACCATTCCTTTAAAAAAAAAACACAAGGTTTGGACTATACTATCAAATAGACAAAACCTTCAAAAATAGCATATTACACTTTATAAATTGGGTTTAAATTTTCTGTAGTTAATATCAATGTTGTCAAACTCGAGTTTCTACGTAGAAATGAAAAGGGTTGGTAGAAACGTAAAACATAGAAACGAAACGAAACATAAAGTTTCTACTTTCTTTTACTACTTAAAGTCAAGATATAAAATTATATATATGCATGTAAAAAAAATTCATATAATGAACATGTGTGTTGAGCCACTTATCTATCTAAAAAGGAAAAAATAATTTGATAACCAAGTATCAAAATTGTAAACAGTGATAACTAACAAGTAACAAGTAATGGATAACCAATCTTCTCTAATTGTTTCATACACTCTGCAGATTTTGGATTATCACTCATCAGGATATAATTTCACTTCTTTCAATGCACACAATGATCCAAAAATACAAAACGATTCTTATAGCATAACTTATAATATAATTGCAGCTTTACAAAATATAATTATAAAAGACATATATCCAACAAAAAGATATCAAGATATTGTGCATATAATTTGAGAAAAACAAAAATTGGGTTTTTTGTTAATTTTTTTTTTTGTAAATCTTTTTTTTTAAAAAAAAAAATTTGTTCTAAGTAAAAACGGTAAAAACATAAGTTTTTATCGTTTTTACGTTTTTACACGGCATTTTTATCAGCTTTTACTAAGGACAGTTTTTACTTACGTTTTAACACGCACCACACTAGTAAAAACGTAAATTTTTACACTAATTTTTTACAACAATGATTAATATAGAAAAGTTATTTGCAGTACTTTAAGCACTACGGGTAATACATAGTATAACTTTTGAAATCTAAACAAAATTAGAATTCATTTCAAAAGTTACACTATGTACTAGTAGTAGTATATGTGTATTGTAAATAACTTCTCTACATTAACTGTAAAAATATTTTTCCCTAATAAATCATAGGTTATGATTACTTTTTTTGTTTTGCATATTTAAGTTGGTGGAAAATCAAAGTAGTAAAATAGCTGGGCTTTTTCACCCTTTTGCCCCTTATTAATTAATTAATAACCATTTTGCCCCTGATTCGAAACTATCTACTAATCTGCCCCTCTTTAATCGACTACCTTGCATTTTTAATCGACTAAACGATTGTTGGGAGATTTAATCGACTAAATCTCCCTACTTAATCGATTACAATCGTACTGACTTATTTTTTTTTGGTCAAATACGAAGATTTAGTCGACTAAATAGGGAGATTTAGTCGACTAAATCTCCCAGCAGCCATTTTTTGTCTGTTTTGGCCATTTAGTCGATTAAAAATGCAAGGTAGTCGACTAAAGAGGGGCAGATTGATAAATAGTTTCGAATCAGGGACAAAATAGTTATTAATTAATTAATAAGGGGCAAAAGGGTGAAAAAGCCAAAATAGCTGATGTAATATTATTTAGTTATTTTATTATTTCACTTGTAATTTGGAGCTTATTTTCTGTGCTCCGAAACTACATATTCCTTATCCAAAAATGTGGAATATGGATGAAAGTAAATATAAAGACAAAGATACTGCAAAATATTACTTTTTACTATATTTGATAAAAGAAGCATCGAGTACTTTCTACTTTTGGAGCACCCAAAATATTTTTGCAACCTTTGGTTAGCAGCATTGTGACACAGGATAGTGGATATCTAACACTGTCATCTTGAACAAAAGAGGAAAAAGGAGTGAAGAAGTCGCAGCTTTAGTAAAAAAGTCTGCAAGTTGATTACGAGACCGAATTGGCATTAATATGATCTGCAGTGAAGTAACCTGCTTCCTATAAAATGACAATAAACTTTTATGTATTTTTTTTTTAGTACAATTTTTTTTTTTATGTATTTATGCTAGTTAAACATTAAAAACAAAAAAAAAACTTAAAAATAAAATTCAAAAATTCAAATAAAATAATGTTTGGCACCTAGCAGGCTATAAGTAGAGATGGACTGATTGGTATATCCACATTAAAATAACACCACCGGTATTTATGGTCCATTGCTACCCGTAAGGCCGTAATACTAATATAATACTAATATACAGTCATACATCCGACAAAAAGTATTACTCTTTATCAAAACTATAAATACCCCACTAGTTTTGTGCCTTCTCTTAAAGCCTTCCTCCTGCTAGTACTCATCTTCTTGTATGTAGCATTAGATAAACGACATCATATATATATCAAATAATTAACTTCATGTTGATGAAGGACGAGCATCCGTTGTTAGCAGACAAACCCATATTTGCTGATCTACAGAGCAAGGCCAATAACAAGGTCAATGTTTCATCCAAAACAAACATACCAGAAACATCTCACGACTTTTGTAACCATTCTGAGTCCTTTAAGATGCTAATCGAGATGGGACTTCCGTGCAATGAAACTGTGGAGGAAAAGCTATCCTGGTTGCGGTCCCAGATCATTGGTAACGATGCAGGGTTCGATTCTCCATTTGGAAGAAGAAAACTTGTCTATGCTGATCACACTGCTACGGGCCGCAGCCTTCACTACAATGAAAACTTCATCATGAATCATCTTCTTCCTTTCTATGGTATTGATATCATGCCTCATATACTTTTTTACGTGCATGTAGGGATGACTGTTGAGATATATAGTCCCACATTGTTGAAGAGCAACTAATGTGGGAGTTTATAAGGCCTTGAGCACTCCCACCCTTTGAGCTATTGGGGTGGTGTATCCCAAGGTTCTTTAACATGGTATTAGAGCTTGATGTTCGATCCTCACCGCCCCCCACTTTAAAGTGGAAGCACGCTTCAAGCCAAGAAGATTGAGTCTGTTACATAATCCACGCTTCAAGCCAAGAGGGCTCTTGCGTGAGGGAACGTGTTGAGATATATAATCTCACATTGGTTATAGAGCAACTAAAGTGTGGGTCTTTATAAGACTCAGCCCGCCCCACTCCATTTAACGGGTGGGGCAGGTTGATCCGTCGAGTCAGTTTTGCCAAACTTAATTATGATCATCAATCTGAACCCCTGTTATTTTCTGTGTATATAGGAAATACTCACACTTGCGACAGTTACGTGGGAAGCAGGACAACAAAAATGGTACACGAAGCAACTGAGTACATTAAGAAATGCTTAGGTGGTGGAGAAAACGATGCAATTATGTTATGTGGCTCAGGCACAACTTCAGCCATCAAAAGGTTGCAAGAAGTAATGGGAATTGCTGTGCCCTCTATTTTGAGGGAAAGGTTTTTGAATAGCCTCACCACACAAGAAAGATGGGTTGTTTTTGTTGGACCCCATGAGCACCATTCCAACCTCCTTTCATGGAGGCAGAGCTTGGCTGAAGTGGTAGAGATTGGCTTAGATGACGAGGGGTTGGTGGATATGGAAGCTCTAAAGCTACAACTTGAGGGCTACAAATATACCAACAGACCCATGTTGGGATCATTCTCAGCTTGTAGCAATGTCACTGGAATCTACTCAGATACAAGAGCAATTGCTCAGCTTCTTCATCAGTACAATGGCTATGCATGCTTTGATTTCGCAGCAAGGTACTAAGAATTGCGGGCATGTGTTTGAGTTTGTGTGTTGTAATATTTGAAAAGTTGGTAATGGTTTTATTTGTTTGTATAGTGGTCCATATGTGGAGATTGAGATGAGGTCAGGGGAGAGTGATGGGTATGATGCTGTGTTCGTAAGTCCACATAAGTTTCTTGGTGGTCCTGACTCTCCTGGAGTGCTTCTCATGAGCAAGGATCTCTACCTGTTAAGATCTTCACCACCATCAACTTGTGGAGGTGGAACTGTGACTTACGTCAATGGCTTCGATGAAAAGGTACATCGCCATTCTCATGTTAGAAACTTAATTTGGAAAACCATTTGCTTAGTGTTAATTTTTTTATTTATTATTATTTGGAAATTATTTGCACGGTGTTTTTAATTGCCCTTTCCCACCGAAATCGTGTTCGCAATATCGTGGTTTGTGATGTCTCCCTATTTGTCCACAACATCTTCGATGAAAAGATTGCAATTACAACAGTATCCGCCGTATTTGTCCACAATTCTCTGCAATTTCAGTAATTGTAATATAACTTCAACTGTTTTTTTTTTTAAACTGATCCTAATTATCTCTCTGAGGCAAATCAGAAGCCCTGGTTTCGACTCTTTGAATCGAGGTCCTCTCTCAGCACTCAGTCCCCATCCTACCAACTGAGCGCTACCACACTTGGGTAACTTCAACTGTTTTTTTTATACAAGTATTGAATAGATAACCTAATATAACCTATCAAAATCACTTAGTACAGACCAATTCTAATGACTTCCACAACTTCAACTGTAATTTAAAACAAATTTGCAACGTTCAGACAAAAGAGAATTAGTAAGAGAAGATGATGAACTTTCAGCATCTGGTCATGAAGTCGCAGCTAGCTAACTAGCTAGAAGATGTGAATCTTCAAATGTAAACGGTAAGAAGAGGAATCTCACTATCACAGTTCTATTAATAAATTTCTTATCACTTAAATCAATAATTATTAATTTATGTCTAGGCATCTTTAAAAAATATTTGAAGTCTTAATATTTGAACATGTCCCGAATCGGAGTAGTCGCGAAATAATGAACTGATTGAAATATTTTCAAAAAAAAATCCATCATATAATTGATTACGAAAGAAATTGATTTATGTATAAATATGTTAATTTATAAATGATTTTGAGACAGTTTCGTTTAAAAATATAAATAACTCCTTTAATATTTTAGTTATGAGTTATTTATAATAATCCTACATAAGTTCATTTTATAACGTATATACAACTCTTCAAAGGTTTAGGTTAAAATGAAACACGTTTAAATTTTGTAAGTTTTAACGTTTTATAGTTAATGTTTGAGGTGAGTCGAATCATCTCACAAATTACTCAACTTTTTTTTTTAATCTAAAAACACGTGCTTCTCATATGACTTATAAAACATTAAAATTAACAAAATTTAATATTTTTAATATAATTCGAGCTTTGAGAGTTATGTGTTACAATATAAACTTTATGTATAAAAATTAAAAAAGATTAATGTTTCTCATGTTAAATAAGATAATTTTATCTCCTACACACATATTAAAGTATATGACGAAGCCCATATGGGATGTGAGGAGAAAAGAAAAAAAATGAATCTGATACACTTATAATATGTGTAAGAAATAAAATTTATTTCCTATAATGAGAAACATTATTCCCAAATTAAAAATGGTGGATTCATCAAGAGATTAATAACGTTGTAAATTAAAGAAACTATTTAGTTTGAAAAAAAAGCTATATTGAAGATTGAGTCCGCTTGTTTGGACTTCTCAAAAAAGTAACTTTTATCTCTTCCTTATTTTAGAAGTGCTTTTTATAAAAGTTAAAACTATTTATATTTTTATAAAAATATTTAGTTTTTGAAAAAAATATTTAGCTTTTGACTTTTGCTTTTTTTAGAAGTTAAAATTTTTAGCTTCTGAAAAAAAGTAGATTTTTGACTTTTTTTGTGACTTCTGATTTTTTTAAAACATACATCCATACAAATTAAAAACGAGAAGTGTTTTTTTTTTAAGAAAAAAACAGCTTTTAGAGAAAAAAAAAGTCCATTCAAACGTGCCCTAATTCATTTAATCCGGAAGAATATTTATGCTTTTAGTATAGGAAATTTTTATTTTGTCATGCTCACGTAAGAATGAGTATATCCTAAAAAGGAGAGAGAAAAAATGTTAATGTAAGTGTGGGAGAAAAACTTTTCCATCAGCCTTTTAATACAAACATGGGCTTTTTTACCCTTTTGTCCCTCATTAATTATTTAATAATTATTTTGTCCCTTATTGCAAACTATCTACCAATCTGTCCATTTTTAATCGATTAAATTGAATATTTAATCGATTAAATGAAGATTAAATCGATTAAATCTTCAACTTAATTGATTAAATCTTCTTCTCTATCAGATGAACAACCTTATGTATGAGGGATTTAATCGATTAAATAAGGAGATTTAATCGACTAAATCTTCAAGTCAACAATTTTTGCCTATTTTGACCATTTAATCGATTAAATTTTTGGCTTAATCGATTAAATAGGAGTAGATTGATAGATAGTTCTGAATAAGGAACATAATGATTATTAAATAATTAACGAGGGACAAAAGGGTGAAAAAGCCTACAAGCATGACTCAAACGTTCTTTTAGAGTAAATTAAAGCTATTTTAAGACCATTTTCCATCAACCTTTTCTCCATCTAAGCAAACTCGTCATCTTTCAAACCTCTAACTGTGGATCTTCATTGCAGGATACATTGTACATGGAGAACATAGAGGAAAGGGAAAATGGGGGAACCCCACCAATAATCCAGACAGTGAGAGCGGCATTGGCATTTTGGGTGAAAGAATATATCAGCTGCCAAGAGATTGAAAAACGTGAACAACTTTACATTAACAAGGCACTTAAGAGACTCATCTCGAACCCCAACATTGAAGTTCTTGGAAACTTAAGCACCAAACGACAAGCTATATTGTCATTTGTCATTTATTGTACCACTCATTCTTTATCAGGTAATGAATGGCAAGATGATAACCAGAATCAAGAAAATGAAGGGGAACTTAATTTATGGGCAGAGTCAGGGAACAAAAGAGGTAAGTTACTTCATGGCCCTTTTGTTGCAACACTGCTAAATGACCTCTTTGGCATCCAAGCTCGAGGTGGGTGTGCTTGTGCTGGACCTTACGGTCACCAATTGCTCAATATCAACAAATCTCAATCTCTTGCTGTTAGATCAGCAATTCAAGAGGTAAATTCTTTCATCATCATCAGTTTTAAATTTCAGTGTCAAAACAATTTAATTTTTCTATACACAAGAAACATTGTTTAATGTTTGTTACTTTATAATAGGGTTATGTTGGAGTGAAACCTGGATGGACAAGAGTTAGTTTTCCTTATTACATGGACGAACTAGAGTTTGAGTTCATTTTAACTGCTATTGAGTTTGTAGCTAACTATGGCCAACGATTCCTTCCCCTGTATAGCTTTAATTTGAGAAATGGCAGCTGGAGAATGAAGACACAAGAACTTGAGGCTCTAACCAATGAAAAGAATTGCAACTTCAGAAAAGAATTGCAACTTCAGGTTGGGATGTTGAGAAGGAAATCATACTTAGACACTGCTAAATATATTGCTAGTTGCCTCTCCAAGTTCCCTTCCCAGAGCATACTCCAAGGTGATGTAAATCATGGTTACAAAAATCTGCCCGATTTAGGATCCGGTGGACCGATTATGTATTTGACCCGGTATGAAATTGGTGATCCAATCTTGAACCGGGTTCAACCAGTATTAAACCAACACCGATTTTTTAAAAAAATTGGTTTCGTGAAATTTTTGACAAAATGTTTAAAAGATACCACTAATGAGATTTGAACTTAAACCATGTATATTGTAGCTTATTTAGGGTGTAATTATGTGGCCAATACCAACCATCATTTGTTAATCTACTTTTCTAGTTCTTATCTGCTGTGATGAAATATTTTTATAATGTGTCAAAAGACTCAAAACATAATTTGATGATAGTATTTTTTTTTTAAAAAAAAAATCATACTAATTATAAATCCTTTAATTTTGAGCGACTACGAGTATATAGGTATTAATAATCCAACACGAAAAAGGACAGTTACAAATTACAATACTTCCATTTAGTTCGGTGCTTAACTGCAGAGACAAAAGAAGGCATAACAAATTAGAATGTCTATGACAAGATGTTCAAAAACAGGGTGAGTTGTAGAATTCCTAAAAACCCAAACGACGGTAAGTAAATGGTATGATTTTTAAATTTACCAAAAGCATCTTTACAAATAAATGAATGGGTTCATTTAATTTTATGTTACATGAGAGATCTTCTTTCATGTTGTAGAGATACATATGATGGGGTCCGTCATTTAAAGGGAAAAGAAAAAGAAAAAAAAGGAGTGTCATGGTTTTCGATGGATGTGTAGGAGATAAAACTACTCTTATATTGCATAAGAATAATTTTCTCCTAAATGAGTACATAGAAATGAATTATCTCATATTTTGTTTTAATATGATGATATTATATGAAAGATTTCAGTCATTTATTTATAGATCAATGGTCAACAATTAAAATAATAATTTTCACTTTTTTTGCTTTACTAAGAGCCTTTTTGAAACCCCATCCCTTTACTTTCAAACTAAAGTTAAAAAAAAAAACTTATAAAAATATAATTAAAAATTATTTGATGATTATATAAAAATTTTAGTTTAAAAGCTCAAATTAAAAAAAAAGCTTATGCAACTTAAAAAAAGCTACTCCTAATTTTTGACTTTTGACTTTTTTGTGTACATTTTGAATTGTGATCGTTGATATCTAAATAAATAACTAAGATGTGATCGTTGATATCTAAATGGATAACTAAGATGTTTCACGTGACATTTTCATGCTGAAATAAGACATAAGAGAATTTACTTTTGAAATACATAATACTTTTAGTATAAATTTTTAGGTTTGTTTTGGACCCATATTATGGGCATGTCAACTAGCTTGATATTTAGGATCACACGTCATCAAAATTCCCATGAAAAAATGCCTTCGACTATTTCCATGATCTTCTCCATTAATCTCCTTAGGAGCTGTTTGGTAGAGGAAAAAAAAAATTTACTAGAGAAATATGATTAATGGGGAAATAGTGAGAAAGCAAATTTACTAGGCAAGTTTTAAAAAAACTGTTTGGTAGGCCAAAATATTACCAGAAAAATTGATTTAAGTTTACTAAATCTATGTTTGGTTGAAAGTAAAATATTGATGGAAAAATATATTGAAAAACCAAAAATACCCCTAGTAAATTTTGAATCTAAATGGACCCGTGAGTGTATCATTGAACATCTATACAAGGAACGTTCGTCTTTCGTTATGTGTTTCTCTGTGTTTCTTCATAAATTTTTCTTTGATATTTATGAAAGGGAAATGTATCCATGCCATTACAGTTTAACGAATAAAAATGCCATTATAAGGACACTTGAAACAGCTTCTCATAGACAAACTATAATCTTAACAAGACACTACAATGAGAAGGTTCTAGGAAAGTCTAATCATTCCATATCATGATAAATTTTCCTTCTATACCAAACTGTGCAAAACCTGTTTTAGAAACTCAGTTTCCAAATTTAAGTTAGCATGAACACATCAACTCTAAGATAAAATAATAAAAAAGGCTAATTGGATCCAAATCCTACGATTCAGATAAAAATACATGTATTTCACACTCTCAAACCGTGTAATTTGGTTATGTGTATCCCTTCCCTTCTCTCTTTCTCAGTTTCTCAGATTAGAAGGGCATTTCAGTCAACAAAATCTGGTCAAATTTTTCATTTCCCTAGTCTTCCTCAAATACTAGCTTTGATGTGGTCTTCACAAAGTGGATTTTTCATATCAAATTACACACAACTCTGGTTTAGATGGGTAAAATGGTTGCCTAGTTTTATTTCTCTAAACCCTCTACCAAACATGGCTTACATAGTATCCCACTCTCACTTACCCATCCATCTCACCAAAAACCACCTACCAAACACCTACTAGTTTTATTTATAAACAATTTCTTAGATTCAGTTATAAATATATTAGTTAATGTTTTCTATGTAAATCCCTATTGCAGGAACCTTATTCCTCATCAACCATTTCAATTTACTTCAACAGAGTTCATCACCTACTCTTCTATACGATGAGAATTTATGTAAGGAATTAACCAAGCCAACCTTGTGTTAACTCAAAGGATGCGGAATGATTATCTTCCGGAAGGCCTGAAACCGAATCAGCAGTCACTGAAGTGTCTATCAGTACCACCCTTTATGTGGCTATCACCAAATGTGTCTATCAGTACCCTTTATGTGTTGTAAGTGTTTATAGTAGTTTGTTTTGTTTTGCAAATGCTCCACAATTCCTGTAGATTGGGGCTCTGCATTCTCTGAAGCGTCTTTCTTAAATTATTTCAGAACAAATGAGAAAGTATTCTTACATTCGCCCCTTTCTTAATTAAAGGGGGAGCTGGGGGTGGAATTCTTATTGGAATTAATTATTACACTTTCCATTTTAAATTTAGAAAATGTGAAAAAAATGATAAAATATTTTACTTTAGTACAGACTTTGTTTGATGCCATATAGAATATAGAACAAATTTTCTTGATCAGCGTATGGCATTTTTTGATTGTGTAACATAAACTTAAGCTACATTTGGTTATGTAACAAGACTGAATGACATAAAAATTTGGGCAAAACCACGATACTAGCAATATTTTACAAATGTATCTCTAACTCAAAGCATTTTTGAAATGTATAACCAAATTAAGGCAGTCAAACGCGTGAAAATATTTGACGAGATGTTGTAAATAATATTGATTATTTAGTTTTTATTTAGTCATTTATTGTTGTATTGGGCCAAGCCCTTTGTTGTATTGGGCCAAGCCCATTAGGTTAAAAGTAGGTCAAATATTCTCTATAAATAGAGAATCCTTTGTACACATTATTTACAATTCTATAATATATTAGAATACCCTTTTTCAAGTTGGTATCAGAACTCTCGATCTGAGGGCTTTGCTTCCGCACATATTATCTTCTTTTTTAACAAAACCCTAATTTCTTTGCCTCTTGCCGCCATCAGCCGCCACCGGAAAATTTTTTCGGGGACCTTTTGGACCAAGGGGACCATTGTTGACCTTATTTTTCCTCCGATCTATCATTCTACGTATTGTTCCTCTGCCACAAACGACCGAAACACCTCCGACCGCCTCCAATCAGATCTGTCTTCACTGTTTGGACCACTTTCCGGCGACTTTTCAACCGCGACCACCCACAGACAGGTGCGCGCTCACTGGACGACCACACCAGAAAAATCTCAACCGGCGAAGCCCATCCACGCGCTCTCACGCGCCGCCCCTTTCCCGGCGAGTGAATCCCACGCGCAGCTCCTTTCTCCGGCGCGTGGAGGCGCGTGCGGCCGTGTTTTTGGACCGGACCACCACCATTCTTCTCGTCTTCTTGTCTTCTGTCTGGATCTGTAATTATTTTTCTGATCAGAGGTCATTTGATATTTTGTTTGGTTGATTTTATCGCTGGTTGTTAACTTTTTTTGTTAAAGAATGGCCGAGCATGATAGTTCTTCGATCTTATCTGGTAAGAGCACACGTTCTATATCTCTTCTTGCTTCTTGCACTGATTTTAAAACCTCATGGATTTTGGATTCTGGTGCAACTGATCATATGGCTTGTCGTACTGAGTTGTTTTGTTCTTATCATCCTACTGTTGGTAGTCATACTATATCCGTAGCTGATGGATCCCATAAATCAGTTATTGGTTCTGGTAACATTCAAATTCAACCTTCCTTGTTTCTTAAAAATGTTCTTTATGTTCCTCAGCTTTCTACTAATCTTATCTCCACTCAAAAACTTACAACTGATTTGAATTGTTCTATCACATTTTTTCCTTCTCATTGTCTTATTCAGGATCTTACCACAAAGAAGACAATTGGAGTTGCTAATGAACATGATGGGTTGTATCATCTCCTTCCAGACCATGCTAGCAAAAATCAGTTATTAATGACATGTCATCCTTCTACTGCAGAGTCTATGATTTGGCTCCATCACAAGCGTCTGGGGCATCCACCATTTAGTCTTTTGAAGTCTATGTTCCCCTCTCTGTTTCTCAATAAGTCGGTTGAGACCTTTCATTGTGATGTTTGTGAATTTGCAAAACACCATCGAGTGTCATTTCCTTCTAGCACTATTAAAAGCAGGGAACCTTTTTCTCTTATCCATTCTGATGTTTGGGGCCCTTCTAAAGTGCACAGTGTTTCAGGTGCAAGGTGGTTTGTTTCTTTTATTGACGATTGTACTCGGATAACATGGTTATACTTGATGAAAGACAAGTCTGAAGTACCAGAGATATTTATTCGGTTTCATCACATGGTTGAGACTCAGTTTGGTAAGGGTATTAAAAGACTCAGATCTGATAATGGTACTGAGTACGTCAATCGACGCCTGTCACAATTCATTTCAGACAGAGGTATGATTCACGAGCTCACATGTGTTGATACCCCTCAACAAAATGGGGTTGCTGAAAGGAAAAATCGTCATCTTCTTGAAGTTGCTAGAGCACTACTTTTTCAGACATCTGTTCCTAGTTCTTATTGGGGAGAAGCAATATTAGCTGCAACTTTTTTGATCAACCGTTTACCTTCACGGGTCCTTAACAATATCAGTCCTATTCATTCCATGACTTCCTTCTTTCCTTCTGTTCCCATATTGCAGAGCCTTCCACCAAGAGTGTTTGGATGTGTTGCTTTTGTCCATGTTCATAAACAACATCGGAGTAAGTTGGATCCTAGGGCTCTTAAGTGTGTCTTCCTTGGTTATAACCCTTATAAAAAAGGGTACAAGTGTTATCATCCACCAAGTCGGAAATTTTTTGTTTCTATGGATGTCACCTTTCAAGAATCTGAATCTTATTTCCTGGGTCCTCATCGTCAGGGGGAGAATAGTTCTTCAGAAGACTCGTCCCCTTCCTTCTTTGAGTCTGGATCAATCTTCTCTCTTCCTAGTGTGTCTGCTCCTGGTGTGTCAGAACCTTCAAATACACCTGAGATACAACCCATACTGTCTCACCAGCAACCTCAATCGTCTGAACCACTGGTAAGTCCTGAATCTCCTATTTCTTCTGAGTCTCCTGAATCTCATGTTTCTGATTCTAATATTATTTCCTCTCATGATTTGTCTATTTCTTCTGATATCTCTAATGACTTACCCATTGCTTCTACTTCTGATGACTTACCTATTGCTCTTAGAAAAGGAAAAAGATCTTGTCACAAGAAAACTTGTTCCTCATGTCCCTCTTGTACTCAATACCCTATCTCCCACTTTGTTTCCTCTGCTAATCTTTCTGTGCAGCACAAAAGCTTTGTTTCAGCACTAGATTCTATTACAATCCCAAAATCAGTACATGAAGCCTTGAAAGATAGGAATTGGGCTCAAGCCATGCAAGAGGAGATGAATGCTTTGGAGAAAAATAAAACATGGGAGGTTATTGATAGACCCAACAGAAAGAAAGCAGTAGGGTGCAGATGGGTTTATGCCCTGAAATATAATTCTGATGGCACTCTTGAGAGATATAAGGCTCGATTAGTGGCCAAAGGTTACACTCAAACCTATGGCATTGATTATGAAGAAACCTTTGCTCCAGTTGCAAAGATGAATACAGTGAGAATCTTGTTATCCCTTGCTGCCCATTACAATTGGGATATAAATCAATTTGATGTGAAAAATGCTTTCCTCAATGGTGAGTTAGAAGAAGAAGTCTACATGGAAATCCCGCCTGGTTTTGATTCTGTGAAGGGGAAAAATAAAGTTTGTAGATTAAAAAAGGCCTTGTATGGATTGAAGTAGTCACCTCGTGCTTGGTTTGGAAGATTTACTAAGGTTATGATGACCTCAGGATACAGACAGAGCCAAGGAGATCACACTCTTTTCTTCAAGCACTCCCAAAATGGGAAGCTTACTGTGCTCCTTGTATATGTTGATGATATTATTATCACAGGTGATGATTTTGTGGAGAGACAGATTCTGCAAACACGGCTTGCCTCTGAGTTTGAAATCAAAGACCTTGGGAAACTGAGATATTTCCTAGGGATAGAAGTAGCTCATTCAAGCAAAGGAATTTTTATCAGCCAGAGGAAATATGTTCTTGATCTTCTCAAAGAAGCAGGAAAGCTCGGGTGTAAACCCTCTAATACTCCTATTGAGCAGAATCACAAGATGGGCTATGAAGAAGAGAGTCCTCTAGTTGATAAAGGACAATATCAACGGCTAGTTGGAAAATTGATATATCTGGCCCATACTAGACCAGACCTAGCTTATGCTGTTAGTGTTGTCAGTCAGTTTATGCACGATCCAAAGGAAAAACACATGCAGGCAGTAGAGAGAATTCTTCAGTATCTTAAAGGTACTCCTGGTAAAGGATTGTTATTCCGACGTGATGGCAATCTATCTTTAGAAGTCTACACAGATGCTGATTATGCTGGATCCGTGACTGACCGTCGTTCTACCACTGGTTATTGCATGTTTCTTTGCGGTAACTTGGTGACATGGAGAAGTAAAAAACAAGATGTGGTTGCCAGATCAAGTGCAGAAGCTGAATTTCGAGCTATGGCTCAAGGCATTTGTGAGTTACTGTGGCTGAAAATTGTACTTGATGATCTCAAAATAAAATGTGAGGGACCTATGAAGCTGCTATGTGATAATAAGTCCGCTATTTGTATAGCTCATAATCCAGTTCAACATGATCAGACTAAACATATTGAGGTCGACCGCCATTTCATCAAAGAGAAACTTGATAGCGGGTTGATTACCACTCCATACATTCCCACTGGGCGTCAATTAGCTGATCTATTAACAAATGGGCTTCCTTCAGACAGATTTCAAGAACTTACTAGCAAGCTGGGAATGATAAATATCTATTCCTCAGCTTGAGGGGGAGTGTTGTAAATAATATTGATTATTTAGTTTTTATTTAGTCATTTATTGTTGTATTGGGCCAAGCCCATTAGGTTAAAAGTAGGTCAAATATTCTCTATAAATAGAGAATCCTTTGTACACATTATTTACAATTCTATAATATATTAGAATACCCTTTTTCAAGTCGAGATCAGTCCCGTCAGATTAGCTAACGTGATTACATG